GTGTGTGTGTGTGTGTGTGTGTGTGTGTGTGTGTGTGTGTGTGTGTGGAGCGATAGCGCGGGGGAGGTCATGGCGAGGTGAGAGAGGGGGAGCGAGACGGAGAGAGAAGTTCAGCAAGAGGTGAGGAGAGAGACCTGCCGTTTTCTCTCCGTGTGTGTGTGTGTGTGTAGGGTGAATCGGGGGTCAGGTGTGTGTGTGTGTGTGTGTGTGTTCGCCAGGAGGACCTGCTGGCTCGCTTGTTTTTTGGAAAGCTCACGCTCTCCCTTTTCTTTTTCCTTCTTCTCTTTTCCTTTTTCATCAGTCTTATCTTCCTCCTCCTCCTCTTCTTGTCGCACTTCTCCTTCTGCTCTCACCCTCCATCGCTCCTCCAAACAAACTTACCTACTGACCTCAAGTTCACCCAAAACTCCCTCTGCTCTCTCCTCGTCCTTGTTTTCGTCTTTTCTCCTCTTTTCCCTTCCTCTCCACTTCTTCCTCAGTCTCCTCTCTCCTTTCAATTCCTTCTCCTCTTCTCATTCTCTCCCTCTTCTTTTTTCCTCTCCTCGTCACATTTCCTCTTCTTCCTCTCTTCCTCATCTTTCACCTCTCCTCTACCTCATTTCCTCTTCCCTTTTCCTCCTCCCCTCATATTCTCTTCCTCTCCCTCGTCCTTTTCTCTTCTTTACTCTCCTCTTCTTTATCCTTTTCTGTCCATCTTCTCTCTTCATTTCCTCTCTTCTCTTTTTCTTACCCTTCTTCCATCTCTCATTAATTTCTCCCCTTTCTTTTTTCATTATCTCCCTCATCTTGTCATTCCCTTCCTCCTTTTATTTTAACTCTCCGTCCTTTTCTCTTCTCCGTCTCTTCTTATTTTTCCTTCTCTATTTCCTCCTCTTTCCTCTCTCCTCCACCTCTTCTACCTTCTTCCTTTCATTCTCTATCCTTCTCTCACCTCCTTTAACTTGTCTCCGTCCTCTCCTTCACTTCCTCTCCTTTCTCTTGTCCCTTTCCTCGTCTCCTAAGTAAGTAAAGTTACAGTAAAGATCTCCTCTAAACCTCATGAACCTCAGCGTATCTCCGAGTGTGTTTTTGCATGTTGTTTTGTGTCAACACGCCCTCTCGGCTCCAGTATTTATCTCCATCCGGCGTTCCTTCACCTTGTATTCACCTCTCACACACTTGAACCTAATTAACTGACCAAGATTTGTTCCCGTAACCTCCCAGCCGGGGATTATATTTGTCCTTTTTATGTAACTGCCTTTTATTCCTACCTGTTTATGCGAGAGCCTGTTTTCCTGCAGCCCGAGCGTGTGTTTGTGCTTGTTTATACGGGCAGATTAGCGGGTCAAACCCCGGCCGTGCGGAGGGTGAACTCGGGGACAAAGGAGAGAGAGGGAGGTGAATACAGAAGCGAAGGCACCGGAGAGGGAGGGATGGAGGAAAAGACGAGGAAGTCCAAAGCAGCGATTCGTCTTGTGCTCTCCCTCTAAAGACACATTTAGAGGAAACAGTTTTAATAACTAACAGAAAACATTTAGGAGACTTCCTGTTTTTAGGAAAGCTGTGAGGAGGTCAGCTCAGGTAACAGCCATGACCTCGTTACTCTTATTGCTGCAGATGTTTACGCTCCAATTCAGTCATTCAGTCCCTCGGTGTAAATGTGAACTACATAACTTTAAGAGTCTGTTTTCAGTGCCGGGATTATACATGATCGGAGGTTGTTTCTTAAGTAAAATAAGTGTGGAGTCATTGCCTCCACCGGGTTTACTCAGCCAGCAGAATGTCTTGTTTGTGGATTATTTTAAGTAGCCGGGTCATGATTTCTGGATATTTATTTTGGAGCTTTAAGCACCACAATCAAAGTGCCATCTAGTCCCATTATGTTGGAGAGAAGGCCGACAGGTGAGAGGAACAGTGTGTGTGTTTGAGATTTGGGGGTGAATTGCCCCTTTTCATATCGGTAGTATCAATACTTTAGGTATCATTCCGCCCTTTAGATTTTAACTTTTGTAACTCTTCATGAGTGTTTCTGTGTAGCAGCAACTTCAATACAGATTCCACCAACAGGACACTAAAGATCTGAATCAAATGGCCGCTTGTTGGCCGTCTATAAACGCTGACACTGAAGCTTTTTGTGAGAGGCAGTTTTTGAAAGACCAGGTCGCTCCTCGAGTGCCACGGATCCTTTGCGTCGCCGCCCGGTGGGGTAAACGGACCCGGTTCTGTTTCCTGTTGAGCGACCGATGGACCTGCAGGTCGGCTGAGTCAGGAGGACAAAAACGAGGCATCGCCGAGCAGTCGACAAAGCTTTTTCCCTCCTCCCTCACCTTCCTGAATCCCATCCCTCCTCTGCACACTTTGAAACGGCTTCTGACCTCCTTCCTGTTTGTCCGATGGCGCACCTCCTTCACCTTCTCTCTCTCTCCTATCTATCCATCTTCATCTGCCCTTCCTTTACCCCGTCTCTCTCTCTCTGTGCTGTTATCCATTTCTCTCCATCTGTGTCTCTTCCCATCTTTACCTTCTCTCATTTTCTCCCCCACATGTGGTTTTGCTCTCCATCCCTCCCTCTCCTCCTCTTCTCTCATCCCTCGCTCACATATGGTTTCTCTCTCTGTGTGTGTTTGGTGTTACCCAGAGTTCACTGGGGCTCCCTGCTCATATGTATGTGTGTGTATGTCTGCAGGCTTGTGTGTGTGTGTGTGTGTGTTAGGTAGAGTTCAGAAGGGCAGCAGCAGGTTATGCAACAGTTTTAAATGTGGGGCATGAAGAGGAAGACTCCACCATCATCTTCTTCAGTCTCATTTCCTCCCTCCTTCCTTCTCTCCCCTTTCTTTATTTCTTAATACCAAAAAAGAAAGACAGTTCTGTTAAGTCTGGTTACTAAATCTTACTCGTGTGTTGGCGTGATGTTGGTGTTCATGCTCTCGATGCTTAACGGATGATTGAATCTCCCCAAAAACTGTGAGTGTTCCTGTGAGTCAACTGTTTTTCTTTCCGTTTGTCTTCATCTAGTTACTGGAACTGTTCACACAGTGGGATTGGTCGACCTACCTGGCTGATTACGGCAAACCCACCTGCAAATACCTGAGAGTCAACCCACAGACTGCTCTGGCCCTGCTGGAGAAGTAAGCAGCCCTTCATCCATCTGCACATCTGTGGTGTTTCACACTCTTTCCTCATTCTGGTTAATCTGTCCTTCCGTTCCTTCACTCCTTATTTACCGTTAAAATAGAGCCGGTGCAGCTATTTCACGGTGCGGTTAGCTTAGCTTAGCATAAAGACTATAGACGGGTTTAGAAAGCTTTCTAGTTCTTTCCTTCTCACTATTTAACCAGTGCATACACAGAAATGGGAAAAAAACATTTGTTTCTTGTAATTGATCAGCTTCAGAGAAGTTTAACCTTCTTAAAGCTCACTGGTTACACTCTTTATGCTAAGCTAAGAACCTTTAAGTTGATCTTCTTATCTCTTTATGGGAGAGAAAGCAAATAAGCGTATCAATCAGAACTCCATCTTGACCTCCATCTCAACTGCTCTCTCTGTTTCCTGTCTGTCCTCTCCGTCGTGTCTTGACAGGTTGTTTAAGCCGTAAGTATCGTCTGCTGGGTGTGTAATGTTGGATTCTGGCATGTGTGCAGACTACTTCACTACCAAAGCGTGCACGTACAAGAAAGAGGAATCATCGTTTTGGCTGTTTTTAATATAACTTCAGAGATTTACATGGTTAGATGCACGCACACAACAAACACATGACGTGATGATACCAATGTTTATCAGCGTAGATCCTGAGCTGCTGTGCAGATAGTGACAAAAACAACAAAGTACACAGAGAAAATGTACGTCTTGTGAAATTCTCACACAGATATACGCGCTCAAGCACACACAGTTTTATGATCCAGTCCGCCTTCCTTAAGGGTCGGTGTTTTCTCTCCAGTGCACCAGAGGGCCCAGGCCCCGGTGGTCCCTCTGTGCCCAGGAGGAAGCACCCTGCTGGGGCTTGTCTGGTCTGCTGGGCCCCTGAACTTCCTGGAGGTCCGTAACAGTCCAGTGTTCTGCGACCAAACGCACACCGTCTCATGTGACACTGAGGACGCACCAAACTTTAAAAATGAGACTTCTTCTTTAGCAGCAGTGTGTGTGTGTGCGTGTGTGTGTGTGTGTGTGTGTGTGTGCATGCTGGTACAGTTATGCACTCGTGAGTGTTTTCCTGACTGCATCAGATGAAGTAATCAGTGCATACTTGTATACTTACAGCGTTCACACACAGAGAATGTTCAATGAGATGTGAACCACTAAAGCAGCCCTGCTTAGTCTTTATACTCATTGATTTCTTCTTCCTCCCTCCATCACTCTCCATCTCCAGGATGAGGGAGACGAGCCGGAAGAACAACGTCTTCGCCCAGTTCAGGAAGACGGACAGAGACAGACAGAAACTCATCGACACCATCATCAAACAGCTACGCAACCTCATCGCACAGCACCACACCTAGAGCGAGCCACCCCATTGGCCAGCGGGCTTGAATTCAACCATCCATCCTGATGAAAAGCACGACGTCATCCATATGTTCAACCATTCGCTCATCTATGCACCTTAACTTCGCCGGACTCGACCGAACCTCCTCCGACCGCAGCCGGTTCCTTTCACCTGCAACAAGATCATTGGAAAACAAGGTCATTCTGTTTAATTTCATTGGTTAATTAAAGCCACTCCTTCCAGAATAACGTAGTTAAATCCCTATTGAAACTCTTGCTGTACTTATTGACATATTTGTAGACGTACAAGGTGGGAACTGGGTGCGAGAATTTATTCTTTGTACTGTACGCTTCCTGTTTCCTTGTCCTAAACTCAAACTGGCTGGTTCAGCGGCCTCTCCTCATCCCCTTTATGTTTTTTCCCAGTGCAGAGAACCTTTAATGTCGTCCACATTGCTCTCTCTCACTGCGGCACAATGACAGAACGTGTTGAATGTACTTCAGAGCGTTTTAATGCTGCAGCCAGAAAAGCACTGAAATCGAGATCAAGTCCGGAAACAAAGCTAAACGATATTGGTGGTAAATGAACAGAATGTTCTTCAAGTATTGTCTAAAAAAGGGGGATATACACGCAACATGGCAACCATTTCCCTCTTAATATACAACCTGCGTACACTTGAATGGGCAACAGTCATCCCCCTTCTTAACGCCTGAAAGCACAGTGAGTGCTTGGGATTTAAAAGGGGGGATGTTGTCCAAACATGGCAACCAATTTGCTCCGCTTTCAGTAAAACTTGATCGAGGTTGTTGCCTGAGCATTTCCTACTCTACCATGTATAAATAACTGGGTCTTAAGGAGTGGGATAATGCCCCAATCTGGCAACCGCTACAAAGGCTATAGTTTTGTTTTCCTGGTCGACCAGAAAAAGACAAATTTCTATAGAAATCATCGCCAAGCACACACGCGCTTCCACGTCTTCCATACAAACAAATGCCGAGCTGTGTGTGTGTGTGTAGTATGTCTACTTGTACACACAGGTTTGTTTCACTGAAGCACAAAATTACATTTACACTAGATTATATATATTTTTTAGCTAATATTGTTGTTTGCTTTTTTCTTTTCTTGAATGGGGGCAATAACAGCGGTTTATAAAAGGGATTCAAACCGACCGTGTGTGTGTTAGAAGGGAACGCAAGTCTTTCAATGAGCAGCCATGTTTGTTTTACTGCGCGAGGATCGCGTCATGTGACTTTCTTTATCTTTATCTCCATCCATCCTTAGCTGTGTATTATTTGTAGGTGTCTTGTAAGGGAACGGTGTCGTCGTTATTGAATGTGCCTTTGCTGTATTTTGCGTTTTATTTTGTATTATTTTCGTGCCAATGAAGCAGCAACGCTGTGGTGTTTGGAGTCTGGACACTCAAAGTCCACTCGCTTGCTTTTCTTACAGAGCTGTCGACCACATCTCAGTCTGTTTGTTACACAGATTATAATGTTTACGCTGTTATCTGCAGAAACAATTATTCTCAGACCTGGATGATGAACAAAGGGAAAACTGAGCACACGTAACCAATAAAATACATATATGGTTAGTTGTAAACCGGATCCACTTCTCCAACGCTGTGTTCCAGAGTCCTCGCACTGCAGCTGTTGCTCCTTTGTTTTGTATTTTGTGAGCAGAGATCTTTACTGAGACAGAAGCACTGTTGTACACGCTGTTGTATTAAACCACTAACCAATGAAATTAAAGTCAAAATACTAATTAAGTTGCAAAAAATGGCAACAGACAAATATGGAATAAAAGAAAAACTGTTGAGAATATTTTGTCCCGACTGTTATTTTATTGTTTTCCGTCACTTCAAGGTTCCGATCGTTGATGTTTGGATCATTTATTGTTTTTGCAAGAGGAAGCATGTTATTTCTTCTCTCAAACATGACTATTTAAGTATCACAAGTAAGTACTTGTGTTGGGTGGTTTAATCTATAAGAATGTGCCGTATTTCATTTGTTCTTTTAAGTAAATCAGAATACACAAAGTAACTACAACTGTCAGATACATGTAGTCGAGTCAAAAGACCATTTTCCTCTTAAAGTTAGTACAGCAGACTAAATATAATGGTTTTATGCTATTATTTGTGTTGTCCAGTCATGGTTGGAGAAATATTGTGGTTTTAGTTCTACATTTATTCACTGATTTATTATATATTTTTTACAGTTAGCCGTTTTCCCTGTTTCTAGTCTTAATGCTAAGCTAACAATCTCCTTCAAATAGTATAATACTTAATCACCCTCAACCCTTGGAAGCCAGTGGAGCGTCATGGACTTCATCTGCGTGAGCTGTCAGACGTTGCTGCTGTGAGGGATGTGATTAACAAGGTGTGTGTGTGTGTGTGTGTGTGTGTGTGCGCGTGCTCGTTCACTGGAGGGTAGCGACTCGAAGCCAAAGCAACACAAACTCTGCATGCTTCAGGTTTCCTCGACTGACTGTGTGCGTGTTTGTTCCCAGCGGTCTATAGAGGAGCCATGGAGCGCTCAAAGATTAGGGATGCCTCCCAAAAACCTCCCTCTCTTTCTGTTTTCTCCTCTTCTTTTTTTTTTGCCTTTTCAGACCTTTTTGAACTCGCTCTTCTGTTGTACATTTTAATTCACCTGAAACATTCATGCACTGATTATTCAGAAGTCCTAGAAAGCCTGGTTCTGTTTCATGTCGTCCTGAGCACAAGAGAAGAGGCTCAACCTGATGAGAGCTGCAGGAACTGTTTCGTCATCGATCCTAGCGTAGCATAGCATGTCCAAACAAGTCATTTTATAACATTACGTCATTGCGTTTTGAATAGTATGTCAAACAAACATTTAAAAGTCACAGCATAGATTGTTATAAAGAAGTCATAAAAATGTAATAGTCTGTCATTAAAAATGCTTAAGAATAATATGCCATAAAAATCGAATGAAATGAGTTTAGTACGTCGTTAAAACATTCATAAAATCGCGCCGTGTTTCATGTCATTCAAACGTCGTGTGAAGGAAACAGAAGAGAGAAATATTAAGAGCAGATTTGGCAGCAAAGGAGAAATGAAAGTTCAAGTCGCTGAACGCGTTTGCTGTTCAGTTATTTCAAAGTCGACTGGACACACCGAGTACTACAAGATGTGCTGAAGTACATTTGTTATCTCGTTATTATTATTACTCGTCTGACAGCGGTGTGTCTCAGATTCCTGTGATCTGGCAAGTGTGAGAAGAAGCAGACACACACACACACACACACACACACACACACACACACACACACACACGAGTATTCAGACTTCAATCAAACAATCGTCACGTTTCCTCTGCTGTCTTTTTAAGAAGAGCCAAACGCATCAAGAGGCTGGATGAAGCCGCCGTATAGAGGACAGATTCATGTACGTATCTTTACTTAATCACATTCTATATTAGTGTGGTGTGCACTGTTTAAGTAGACTATACCTTGCTGCTAATAATCACAATCATAACTTCTCTTATTTATAAAGTACTTCCTTCCTTCACCTTTTAACATTCTACTATACCTCTACATTCAGTCTCACAAAGATCTTAAAAAGTTAAATATAACTATGATATATTAAAGAGATAAAAGACTTTCTATCAAGGGAAACTCATACATGTAGATTTATTTTACCGTTCTGCTTCTTTGCTGGTTTCATTCCACTGCTTTCTGGTGTCACTGACCTGCAGAGGTTAAAGGTTATCCACGGTCATCTTGGGATTATGGGAGGTCATTGATGTCGGGACCACACACACACACAGACACAGACACAGACACAGACACACACACAGACACAGGTCTAATGAAGACGAACGAGACAGCACACACACTTCTCCCGGCCTCCTGGTTATTGATGAGCCTGAGGGGTCAAAGGTTGTAGAAACACCAACTGTGTGTGTGTGACTTTCACTTACTCTCTTTCATCACTACCGGCTTTTTAGGATAAGAACAAAAAAGTTTAGGTTTTTCTTTATTTTCTTCTATTTACTTCCCCCCTCTTCCTTAAATCTCAAGTCACTTTATTCCCACTAGACACTCAGACTAATAACATCAATGATAATAGTGATGAAATCTCTATTTCTGCACTCTTTATTTTGTCAGATCCCGACTCGTTCTCCACTGACTCACATGTTCCCATTCCTCTGATTAATCTACTTTAACTGCATTCTTTCTGTCTGCTTCTGCTTCAGTTTCTGTTGCATTGATTATTAAATGTTCATCCTTCTCTGAGCTGTGTAGCTGAACTCTTGACTTGCACACACATGCTTCTGCTTTATTTGTATTCTAAGTAAAAGCAGATTCCTTTCCAGCTGACTTTATAATGTTTCCAGTTGATTCTTTTTACATTTTCAAGCAGTTTTCTTTACTTTTAACTAAAAGAATTTGAGGACAAGGACAGATGAGTTTGGTTAGTGTAACGCTATCTAGTGCTGGCAAACTAAACGACATTAGCATAAAACCCAAACCCCACAAACTGTTGTCGTTCGCCAACATGCCTCAGCTGCCTTTGGAAATAATGACTCAGCTGGTAGTTAGCTGGGTATGCTAACGCTTTCAGCTTACAATAGATCAGAAAAACACGCCGTTTAATTCATTCCTGATACTTTCTGCTCTCGTGGTTTTGTAAAGCTGGAAACAGACGCCACCACCACCCCCCCCCCCAACTCTTACGATACAGAGTACCAACGCATGAATCCAAAGCTTTGCCTAGTTAGGGTTGCTAAGCTGGCCATCACATAGCATTTCAATTCATGTCTGAACATACAGTCATTTGCAAATATTCACATTTGCATGTGCACATTTGGCGTCTTGTTTTCTTTTCTGAAAGGATCATTGTAAGACCAGAATATGGAGCGAGCAGTTCGTTTTTCAGATTTGGTCGTTTTTCCACAACAGCAGCGAGACGAGCCAGAAAATATCTGTTGAAGTAAGTCGATTTAAAACTGGAAATGTCCTCTGAGCTACAGGACGACCGCATTGTTCGTCTCTCTCTGGATGCCTGTGGTCCGGTCCTCTGAAACACACCATCTCTTTTTCTTTCCTCCTCGCTCTCATCTCGCTATCTCCTCATCTCGCTATCTCCTCATCTCGCTATCTCCTCATCTCGCCATCTCCTCATCTCGCTATCTCCTCATCTCGCTATCTCCTCATCTCGCCATCTCCTCATCTCGCTATCTCCTCATCTCGCCATCTCCTCATCTCGCCATCTCCTCATCTCGCCATCTCCTCATCTCGCCATCTCCTCATCTCGCCATCTCCTCATCTCTTCCAGTGAGCTTTACATATGTTCCCCAAAAATAGCTGCTGCATGACCAGCCACTTCTTTTCTTACTGGAAAACTACTTGTGTGTGTGTGTGTGTGTGTGTGTGTGTCTGTGTCTGCCAGTTTTTCATTCCTTTTTTAGTTGACCACATATGAAGAAAGTTATGAATTATTATGGAGCCCATTATTAAGGATTATGAGAGACCTGATAGCTCTGTGCTCTGGGGATTGTTAAATATTGTGTGTGTGTGTGTGTGTGTGTGTGTGTGTGTGTGTG